TCTTGGTGCAGAAATGGAAATGAGGCAGAGACTGGGGCTTTTAATTTTTTTGCATTTATGGAGAAAATGTACTCAAGAGGTATTTAGACCTTTGCTTTATTGCTTAGTGCCTGGCACATCATGAGTACTCAAGAAATGTTGAAATACTTTGGTTTCTTAGGTTGGAATATATAGGAGAGAATTATAAAGACATGAGAATGTGGATGGTAAGAGCTATAAATTCAGAAGATGATACTTTGAATTTACAATTGGCCCTCTGCATCTGTGGATTCTGGATTCAACCAATTACAGATAGAAAATATTCAGAAAAAAAAAATCTCAATAGGCTACTCAAATGAAGATGTGTTCACAACTAGTTGATCAAAACCAGTTAGAGATTTCTTTGTTCCTTTTCTACTCCCAGTTCCTCACTTGACAAGCCTGAAAAAACCAAATCAAAACAATACCACAATTTTAAAAAAGTCAAAAAAAACCCAATACAGTATAACAACTATTTAGATAGGATTTACCTTGCATTAGATATTATAAGTAATCTAGAGATGATTTAAAGTATACAAGAGGATGTTGCATGGGTTATATGCATACTATGCCATTTTATATCAGGGACTTGAGCATCTGCAGATTTTTTTTAGCTGTGGTGGTGGGGGATTAGGGTGGTGGCTGTTCTGGAATGAATTCCCCTGAGGATACTGAAGGATGATGAACTGTATTTTACTAAAGCTTGATTAAAATGGGAGGACCTTGTTACGTAAAAGTTAGTTCCAGGGCAAAGAAAAGAAGGTAATAGGAAAGAAATAATGGAAGGGAAGAGGTGAAGATTTTTGAGTTAGAATTACCAAGTTATAGCTGCTAATCTTGCTGGGTTTCGAATACAAATTCTGCCTGAAATCAGCATGTTAAACTTTAATGCTTTTTAATGACTTGCACCTTCTTAAGGAATTATATAGAGCTTGCTGTTTGAAAGTGTACTCTTGTTTGCAGAAGAGGAAGCTGATACATGCACAGGAGACGGAAGCTGGTATTTCATAGTATGAACAACAGTAGCTTTAGGGCAGTGAATGAAGGGGTGGAAAAGAAGCTGTGTATGCCAAAGAAATTGTGAAGAAAGAATTGATGAATCTAGATGGCCAATTAGAAATGGGACGGGAAATATGGAAGGTTTGAAAGGCAAAGATGTCTCAAAGGTTTTGAAACAGGGTGTCTGGGAAGCAAATACATGGTGTGTACCCAGTCCAGGGGATCAAGCCTGTGTCCAAATCTGCATTTTGCTACTTACTAACAATGTGAACATGAGTGAATCCCTTTACTGAGTAGGGCCTCAGTTTTGTTATCTGAAAAATAAAGAAGATGGCCTAGAGCACTGCTTCTTTTTTTTGAGACGGAGTCTCATTCTGTTGCCTAGGCTGGAGTGCAGTGGCATGATCTTGGCTCATTGCAACCTCTGCCTCCTGGGTTCAAGCAGTTCTCCTGCCTCAGCCTCCCAAGAAACTGGGACTACAGGCGCACGCTGCCATGCCTGGCTAATTTTTTTTTTTGAATTTTAGTAGAGATGGAGTTTCACCATATTGCCCAGGCTGGTAACAAACTCCTGAGCTCAGGCAATCTGCCCACCTCAGCCTCCCAAAGTGCTGGGATTACACGTGTGAGTCACCTCGCCCGGCCTATCAGTGCTTCTTAAACTTAAAATGTCTGTGTGAATTGCCTAGGGAATATTGCTAAAGTACATGTTCTGATTGAGTAGGTCTGTGGTGGGACCTGAGATTCGCAGCATTTTTAATACATTCCCAAGTAATGCAGAGTAGCAAAGGCTTAGAGGATCTTCAGGGTCCTTTCTGGTTCTGCAGTATTACACTTCTGTTTGTTGAATGTTTATCCTTCAGAGATCTGTTATACTTTTGTGACTTATAATCACCTCTATTTAAAGAGGTGAATTCTAAATCTTTGTCTCTTTACTTCAAATTAGAATGGCCTAAATTCATCAGTTTCCACTGATAACCACATCCCTCTCTTGACATCTCTATTTTTATAATACTTTATATTTATAAAGTATGTATTATACGTATATAAAGTATGTATTATAAAGTACTTTATACTTTTTTAGAGAGCTTTTATATCCATGATTTCATTTGATCATTACAGTAACCCACAGAGGTAGGCAGTTGGAAATACCTCCATTTGATGGATGGGGAAACAGGCTCAGAGACAGTATGTGGCTTGCTCACTAATGAGTGCTAGAACCACCCTAGAGCTGAGCTGAAGTTCACTGTGTTACGTTGCTTCTGGAAATGGTCATCTGCATACCTGTATTTAAAGGTTGGTTGCCATCTCGCTGTTTTTTTGAAATGTAAACATAAGCTAGTCCAACGGTAATGAGTTTTCTCAATTGAGTGTTCACAGTCAGTTATAGATCAGACTTGTTCTACTCTTCTCCCCTTCTCACTACTGTACTTGACTGGTCTTAAAAAGTAAAAAGTATCTTTAATTTTATTTTAAAAAATACGATAGATATGTATTCATATGATTCACAATTCAAAAGGCACATTGTATAAGAGTATATGGTGAACAGTCTCCATACTATTGGGTGCCCCAAATACCCCTTTCCTTTTCCCTGGGGCAACCAGTGTTATCAGTTATAGTTTATGACTCTCCAATGATTACATAATTGTATTCTTTTTTTCCCTATCAAACACAAATGAGGTTGGGCATGGGGGCTCACATCTGTAATCCCAGCACTTTGAGAGGCCCAGGAGGGAAGATATCTTGAGGCCAGAAGTTCAAGACCAGTCTGGGCAATATAGTGAGACCCTTTGCTACAAAAAGTTTTAAAGTATTAGGCAGGTATGGTGGCACTGGCCTATAGTCCTAGCTACTTAGGAGGCTGAAGCAGGAGGATTGCATGAGCCCAAGAGTTTGAGGCTGCAGTGAGCTATGGTTGTGCCAGTGCTCTCCAGCCTGGGTGATAGAGTGAGACCCTGTCTCTATAACCACCACCCCCTCAATGCAAAAAAAGCCACAAATGTTAAGCACACTGACTGTATAAACTGTACTTAAAAAAAAAAACAAACCACACACACACAAACTAATAATGTATCTTGGAAATTATTCTGTATCAGTGTTGAAAGAGCTGCCATGTTATTTGTTCTTTATGGCCACATAGTATTTCACTGTAGGATATATCATAATTTAGTCCACCATTGATGTACGTTTCAGTTATTTCTAGTTTTTTTGCTAATAAGCAATACTGTATTACATACATCATATTGCTGAATCAAAGAATATATGCATTTGTAATTTTTTTAAATTTAAGGGTTTTTTTTGTTTGTTGGTTTGTTTTGAGATAGAGTCTTACTCTGCTGCCCAGGTTGGAGTGCAGTGGCTTGATTATGAAGCCTTAACCTCCTGGGCTCAATCAGTCCTCCCACTTCAGCCTCCCAAGTAGCTGGGTCTACAGGCATGGACCATCATACCCAGCTAATTTCTAAGTTTTTCATAGAGATAGAGTCTCCCTGTGTTGCCAAGGCTGGTCTTGAACTCATGGGGTCAAGTGATCCTCCCACATTGGCCTCCCAAAGTGCTGAGATTATAAGTATGGGCCACTGCACCCAGCCTGCATTTGTAATTTTGATATATATTGTCAGATTGCCATCTGCTATGGTTTGAATATTTGTCCCCTCCAAAACGCATGCTGAAATTTAGTCCCCAGTATGGCAGTATTGAGAGGTAGGACCTTTAAGAGGCGATACCATGATACCATAACTCTGTCGTGATGAATGGATTAATCCATGGATTAATGGGTTAATGGGTTAGTGGGTTAATGGGTTATCATGAGAGAGGAACTAGTGGCTTTATAGGAAGAGAGGCCTGAGCTAGCACGTTAGGCTCAGCTCTCTTGCCACGTGATACCCTGCGAGTCCTTACCAGCAAAAAGGCTGCCCCTCAACCTATCTTATCAGATTTTTTGGTTGGTGCCAATTTTAATGTAGTTTTAATCTGCATTTCTCTTACGAGTGAGGTTGGGAATCTTTTCATGCTTAAGAACTATTTGTGTTTCTTTTTTTGTGAATTATCTGTTAAATGTTCTTTGCCATTTTTTTTCTGTTGGGTCATTGGACTTTTGATTTTTAGGAATTCTTTATGTTTTAGTGAAAATTTTTTATATGAATTCAAATTTTTTCTGTTTTTTTTTTTTTAGGTGAGATGGAGTCTTGCTCTGTGTCAGGCTGGAATGCAGTGGCATGATCTGGGCTCACTGCAACCTCTGTCTCCCGCGTTCAAGTGATTCCCCTGCCTCAGCCTCCTGAGTAGCTGGACTACAGGCATGCACCACCATGCCCGGCTAATTTTTTGTATTTTAGTAGAGACGAGATTTCACCTTGGCCAGGATGGTCTCGATCTCCTGACCTCATGATCTGCCCACCTCGGCCTCCCAAAATGCTGGAATTATAGGTGTAAGCCACTGTGCCTGGCCTCTCAGATTATTTTTTTCTTTGACTTTGCATAAGGTAGTTTTTGCCATGTCTAATTTTAAAGTGTTTTATGTAGTATTTTTTTTTTCTTTTATAGCTTCTGAGTATCATTTTTAGTCCTTTGTGTTTATAAAATAATTTTTCATGGTTTCTTTGGGTACTTTTTTGCTTTATTTACATTAAATATTTTTAAACCTTCTGGAATTTGATATAAGGCATAGGGTGTGTGTGTGTGTATTTTTGATGGCTATCCTATTGCCCTAACACCTTTATTGGTTAGTTCTCTTTTTCCCTAGAGGTCATCTTTGACTTATCTCTTTTGTCAATCTTCTCTTCATCCCTGAGCACATCCATTATCTAATTAGTTATCCCAGTAAGCTCAGTTTTTCTTTAGGCTCCTATATGTTATCTTTTCTTTCTGTTCATATTGATAATACTTTAAACCTTTTTTATTGTGGAAATTTCAATGTATGTTGAAATGTATATTTTATATATCAATATATTCATCAATATATCAATGTATATTGAAATGCAAGTGTGTGTGTGTGTGTGTGTGTGTGTGTGTGTGTAGAGAAACAGAGAGATTGAGAGAGGAATATATGAACTCCCAGGTACCTATTATCCCACTTCAATAACTATTAAGTCATTGTGGATCTTGTTTAATCTATATGCCTACCTACTTGTCCTCCTTTCCTCCCTCCAATTATTTTGAAGCAAATTATAGGGATGATATTACTCTTAACATCTGGACCTCTGACAGCTAATTTCTGTCTTCAGTTTTTATCATCCTAGTTCATCCTGTATAACTCTGTCATTCTTCATTGGCCATATATCTATCTATCTATCTATCTATATATATATATTGATCTTATATTCCTAAATGCTGAAATTGGTGTGAAAATTTACCAGAAATTTGCTCTTTTCATCTGTACAAACTCTAGTTATTTGGTAAGATCATATACCCTGAAATTAGGTTGTAATTCCTAATAATAGTCTGTAAAGGAAATATCAAGATAGGAGAAAGAAGGAAACATAAAGAGCTGTTGAATTTTGTCGAAGGCCTTCTCTGCATCTATTGAGATAATCGTGGTTTTTGTCTTTGGTTCTGTTTATGTGGTGGATTATTACATTTATAGTCTTGCGGATGTTGTACCAGCCTTGCATCCCTGGGATGAAGCCTACTTCATTCCATTGAAACAGCAAAACCATTGCTGTTGCAATCGGTTTGCCAGTATTTTACTGAAGATTTTTGCATCGATGTTCGTCATGGATATTGACCTGAAGTTTTCTTTTTCAGTTGTGTCTCTGCTAGGTTTTGGTATCAGGATGATGTTGGTCTCATAAATGAATTAGGGAGGATTCCATCTTTTTTTGTATTGTTTGGAATAGTTTCAGAAGGAATGGTACCAGCTCCTCTTTGTACGTCCGGTAGAATTCGGCTGTGAACCCATCTGGACCTGGACTATTTTTGGTTGGTAGGCTATTAATTACTGCCTCAACTTCAGACCTTGTTATTGGTCTGTTCAGGGATTCAATTTCTTTCTGGTTTAGTCTTGGGAAGGTGTAAGCATCCAGGAATTTATCCATTTCTTCTAGAGTTATGTACATAGAGTTGTTTATAATAATCTCTGATGGTGGTTTGTATTTCTGTGGAATCTGTGGTGATATCCCCTTTATCATTTTTTATTGTATCTATTTGTTTCTTCTCTCTTTTCTTTCTTACTATTCTGACTAGTGGTCTATTTTGTTGATCTTTTCAAAAAAACAGCCCCTGGATTTATTGACTTTTTGAAGGGTTTTTTTGTGTCTCTATCTCCTTTAGTTCTCTGATCTTAGTTATTTCTTGTCTTCTGCTAGGTTTTGAATTTGTTTGATCTTGCTCCTCTAGTTTTTTTTCCTGATGATAGGGTGTCGATTTTAGATCTTTCCTCGCTTCTCATATGGGCATTTAGTGCTATACATTTCCTTCTAGACAGTGCTTTAAATGTGTCCCAGAGATTCTGGTACGTTGTGTCTTCGTTCTCATTGGTTTCAAAGAACATCTTTAACAAGAAGGCAGGGGAGAGACACATGGAGAGGGCAGTAGTAGATCTGCCTGTTTCTTAGAGCAACACTACCTGGAGGAAAATTGGGGCAGGAGGGGAAGGCAAGTTTTGGGGCCTTTCACCAAGATTGGGGGTAAATAGGGTAGAGATAAGAGACTCAGAGCCGCCGGGCGCGGTGGCTCAAGCCTGTAATCCCAGCACTTTGGGAGGCCGAGGCGGGTGGATCACGAGGTCAAGAGATCGAGACCATCCTGGTCAACATGGTGAAACCCCGTCTCTACTAAAAATACAAAAAATTAGCTGGGCATGGTGGTGCGTGCCTGTAATCCCAGCTACTCAGGAGGCTGAGGCAGGAGAATTGCCTGAACCCAGGAGGCGGAGGTTGCGGTGAGCCAAGATCGCGCCATTGCACTCCAGCCTGGGTAACATGAGTGAAACTCCGTCTCAAAAAAAAAAAAAAAAAAAAAAAAAAAAAGAGACTCAGAGCCAAAACGTATAACAAATGAAGAAGGTTCAGAGTTAACAGTTTGTTTTTTCCTGTTGAGAAGCCTGTTTTATAATTTAGTGCTTAGTAGATGACTGCATTAAATTTAGACTGATTTGAACTTGGTGGGAGAGCAGAGTTAATTTGACAATGACAGCGTTAGTTCCAAGGTTGTGTAATTTGTGCCAGAGAAAGCTTTCAATTAGGGACAGGAACTATGAAGTGTTTCATGAGAGATTAGGGTTGTTGTTTGTTTAAATCTGTAATGTTGTTGGCACCATTTGCTTAGAGCCAGTAGCCCCAGGCACTAGTTTTAAAGCATTCTTATGTTCTTTCAAAACTTTTCACAGTGAGGCTTTCAGGTTGGATCAAAGGATTAGGAAAATATAGGTAATTTGAGAGTGCTACATCGAGAGCTCCTTTCTGGTTTTTTTTTTTTTTTTTTCTTAAACTGACTTGAATTTATCAAGCTTAATTCTTAGAATTCTTAGTTCAGTAGTTGAGCAACTTTACCTTCTGTGGAAATGTGGAAAACCAATTTCCCCTAGGTTTACATTTGTTACCCCTCAAAAACTTAAAGCTAGAGTAATAATATGAATTTACCCAAAATAACATGGGCCTTCAATCTTGCCTACTATTGAGCCTGGTCTCAGGCTGAGAGTAAATGTCTGACCTGAAAAAGAAATGGAAGTTGGAAAAGGAGTTGAAAGTAGGAATGAAAGAAGGTGTCTAGGACAAGTTTGACTACATTTCCATAGGCAAATACTAAGAAATTATCTCATAATATCTGTGTTTATCTAAATCAGGGGTCAGCAAACTGCGACTAACAATGGCTGGTTTTGTAACAGCTGACAAGCTAAGAATGCTTATTATTTTGTTAAAGGATTGTTAACAAACTAAAAAAGAAGAGTATGTAGACAGACTAGGTATGCACTGAAAAGTTCAAAAGATTTACTGTCTGATCCACATTATTCAAGGTATATAGTAATATTTCTTTATGTGAACATTAAAAATTTCTTGCTCTTTTGTTTGTTTCATATCATTTTCAATGACCTTTAAAAAAACTGGTAATACGGTTTTCCATTGTATATTTACATTGTACCACAATGTAAGAGTGTTACTCAGTTTTTGCTTTTATAACAATACTGGAAAAAACATATTTGCACACAGTTTTATGATTTGTGGAGTGCTTGGTAAAAAATTGTATATGCATTTTAAAATTTGATAATTTTTGCTAAATTGCCCTTGCTCCAAAGCAGACAAGTTTTATGTTTTCCCCAATGTTGTTGGCTTTCCCTGTATCAATCCCAGTAGAGACTAAAATGGTTTGACTTTAATCAGGTTCCTTTAATTATCTATTACTGTATAACAAACAAAAAACTTGAGTGGTTTAAAATAACATCATCATCATTAATTTTGCTCACAAATCTGCAGTTTGGCTGGAGCTTGGTGGGAACAACTTGTCTCTGCTTATTATCTTGATGTCATTTCTGGAGGCTCAAAGCCTCAGGACATGGTCACTTACATGCCTGGCTTCCTGCTGGAATCTCAGTTGGGGCTGTGGAGAACACTTGTGAAGCCCATGTGACTGGCTGGCTTTCTCACAGTATAGTCACTGGGTTCCAAGGAAGAATATCCCAAAGGACCAGGTGGAAGCCATATCACCTTTCATGATTTAGCCTCAGAAGTCACATAGCTTCATTTCTGCCCACATTTTTTGGGGAGGAAACATAGACTTTACTTCTTAATGGATGACAGGAGTGGCAGCATTACATTATAAGAGAGCATGTCAGATGGAAGTATTGGGGCAACCGTGTTTGGAAACTGCAGTCGGGCACTAGGTGGAATGTTTATTTTGATGTGCATATTTTTAAATTATGGGTGTGATTATACATCTTTTCTCATGTTCATTGACTGTTTCCATTTCTTTTCCTGTCACCTGCCTTTTCATATTCTTTGTCTCTTTTTCTTTGGTCTCTAGGTTATTGATTATTGGTTATATTATTGATTTGTAATAGCTCTTGTAGATAAAGCAAATCAGACTCAAACTTGGTTTAGAAAGTATCTCCTTGTGGGTCTGGGAGTTGTGAAAGTTGTATATGGGATGGTTTAGTTAGGTAATGGTGGGGATTTATGGAGTAATTATATTTAAGAATCATAATACTTTTTTTTTTTTTTTGAGACAGAGTCTTGCTCTGTCACCAGGCTGAAGTACAGTCGTGCCGTCTTGGCTCACTGCAGCCTCCACTTCCACGGTTCAAGTGATTCTCCTGCCTCACTCAGCCTCCTGAGTAGCTGGGATTTCAGGTGTGCACCACCACACCCAGCTAATTTTTGTATTTTTAGTAGAGACAGGGTTTCACCATATTGGCCAGGATGGTTTCAATCTCTTGGCCTCGTGACCCGCCTGCCTCGGCCTCCCAAAGTGTTGGGATTACAGGTGTGAGACACCACGCCCAGCCAATACTTTTGTTTTTTAAGCAAGTGATCCAGCAAGGGAGGGTGAATGGGAGCCATTTCCTTGTCTTTTGGTTATCAGCCTCCCTGAATCACTCTCCAACACTTGATGCAGAGCAAGATTAAAGACACATCAGTTCTCTTTGGTCGTTAATATACCTCAGAAGCCAGAGAATTTTAGATGCATGCAAAGGAAAGGTAAAATATAGGAGGAACATAAAGCTCTGGTGGTTATTTCACTACTGAAAATGGCTTTGAGTTCTGTTAGCTATGGTGTGTGATTTGACTGTTTTTTAAGTGTTGCTTTCCCCTATATTGAGGTTCAAAACTATATCAACAAATATAGATTGACCCTACAGAAGTGATCATTTTCTAAAATATGGTTATGTTTAACAAAGTGAAACATTTATTTTATCTTGCCACTAATAAGTTAGAATGTTACTCTTCATCTGCTAACCTGCTATGGGATACAGCCTTAATAAACATTACAATGTAAGTCCTTTCCCTAGTTGTAATCCTTGACAGTTTTAAAGGGATAGGCTGATGTTTGTCATCAAAGTACTTACTTTAAGTATAGTTTGAGCCAGACTTAAATTGTGTCAGCAAGGTCTGAATCCCACATCTCTTGACTCTGCTCTCTTCCTTGTTCATTTCATTTCCTGGTTTCACTGTGATGGAAAGATGGCTGACAGGATCTCTAGCCTTATGTCCTTCTAGGTTCAGAGCCAGTGGGGGTAAAAATGAACTCATGGCTGAGCGCAGTGGCTCATGCCTCTAATCCCAGCACTTTAGGAGGCTGAGGTAGGTGGATCATTTGAGGTTAGGAGTTCA